TCGGTGTTCCTTGGGTGAGGAATGCGGGCTCTGGGGTTCAGGTGCCGAGCTGGTTCAAGGGCAGAAGCATCCCGTTCCGTTTCCATGCCAGGAGCAGGACCAGCCATGCCCTTCTGCTCCCGGGAGGAAGGGGGGGCGCCCGAATAATCGCCCTCAGAGCTGCTGGCTGCTGCCTGGCGCCGAGGGACTCTCGGGGCTGCTGCTGTGAGACAGGTGCATCTCAGAGGGCCCCCGGGTGCTGGCGAACGTTGGGGGGTGGGCCACCGGCTCCTTGGGCACCTGAGTGCCCTCAGAAGGGGCGCACGGACCTTCCGATGGCGGTGGCGGCGGGGCGCTGGGATCTTTCTCCTTATTCAGGAAGAGCCGGAGCCGCTCCACATTCTGACGGAGTCGCTGCTGCTCGGCCCGCAGGGCAGCGGCCTCCTGTCGCAGATTGCTGATGGCCGAGACCAGCGGGTGCACCACGTGGAAAGCCTCATCTACCCGCTGCTCCAGGGTGTGGCGACAGGTGTCCAGCTCCTGGCGGGCCCCCTGCAAAGCCTGGCCCAGGGGCTCCTCCGCGGACGGCTCCCGTCTGCCCTCCAGGCTGGGGACGGGCACCCCAGGCATGTCACCAAGCCGAGGGGCAAGCGGCTGCTCAGCACCGGCGGCAAGCGCAGGCCGAGTTCGCTCCGGTGCAGCCAAGGCGTCCTGAGAGAAGGGGGCACACGCCGGAGGCAGATGCCTGTCTTCTCAGCTGCCTCGCCGGATCAACGATCTGCTGGACGCAAGGCAGGACGGGCAGGTGGGTCCTTTATATTGCTGGCCAGCTATTCTAGTCGAGAGGAGCCCCTCCGCCCGGGTGGCATTCCCGTGACAAAGACAGAGTGGTGGAAGGGAGCCAAGTGGTCAGGCCGGCCAGGAGGGGGAGAGGCCAGGCTCCTCCGGCGAGAGGAGGGTGCCCTCCGCTTGCAGAGGGTCCGTTCCCATGTGATGATACGCTGCAGACAGCTGCGGGGAGGCCAGCGGCAAAACTCCCCTCCAAACTCTTACCGAGACGCTCAAAAGGCTTTGGGGCGAGAAGAACTCTCTGAACTGGGGCTTGGGAAAAGGGTGTCCTCTGCACCAGCCCTCAAGCCCAGGCAGTTTCTAACGGGGCAGGGGAGGGCAAACAGGCAGCAGCGCGAGCACCCCAACACTCAGTCTCTGCCTGGGTATTCTTGCACAATACACCTCCACCCAGGTCACGAGGGACCCGCCGGGTCTCATCCGTTAAGAGCGCTGGGTGACTGGCACGACCACCTGTCTCTGATTATTTCTGCCTGTCCTACAAGGTCCAACAGGGCGAGCATGGCCCGGTCCCCTTCTATTAAACAAGGTCACCTTGACGGGACCCAGAGACGTGCCTTCGGTCGTGGCACCTCGACTCCAAGGTTCGGATGGCCCTAACCCTGCTGGCTTTTTGTAAGGCACTGAAAAGTTTTTTCCTCGGGCACCGGGCCAGGGTGCGAGATGAGCCTGCTTTTAGTGGCTGTTGGCTGTGAATGAGACTGGCCTTGGACATGCTACGTTTTATTTAGGATGGCTTTGGATGCTTTAACCCTGGTGTTAGCTGTCCAGAATTGCAAGTGCAAGGAGGGCAGCTATAGCAATTAAAAGAAATGAATGAATAAATAAAAAAAAATAACATTGACGTCATACATAAAACAAAATATATTTTTACTTCAATAAATAAAAGTGTGTTTATTTTGTCCACAAAACAATTTTTTAAAATTATTTTGTGCACACCTATAAAACAAAGAAAGTGCTCTGTATATTTTACCCGAAAAAGATCAGGCCTAGTAAATATCCTGGACTTTCTTTCTACTTAATAGACAACTGCCAAGATTTAATGACATGCTAAGTTTTGCAAAAGAAAAAACGGGTAGAATTTAAAATGTGTACAGGGAGTCCTTGCTTACCGACTGCCTTGTTTAACAACCACTGATGTTATAACAGTGTAAAAAAAAAAGCTTTGCAACCTATCCTAGCATTTATGACTGCTGCAGCATTCCACTTAGCAACGGAGCTGCTGATCCCAATTGTGGTCACTAAGCGAGGACTACCTGTACATACATGTTAAAGTCCTCCGTTCTGGCTGTTGCCCCAAGGACCAGAAGCATGCTTTTTAGGAAAAATAAAGGAAAAAAGGTAGACTGCAATTCCAAGTTCCCAGCCCAGGTACAGAATGGAAACTTGGCATATAAGCAGCCTCAGGATGACTTTAGATGCACAGGTGGGAAAGGTCTCAAACTTTGCATGAACGAAGATCCTGACTGAACCCGACAAGAAAAGAAAAAGCAGCTGTTGTTTCCCGTATGGTCAATGCTTTCAATCGGGGGGAGGCAGGGGGAAAAAATCAACAACCTTGAACCTAGGCAAGAACGAGGTGAAAAATAAATTCTCCCCGACCGGCATGCTTCATTTCTGTGGACAAGATCTTTCCCCTAAAAAGGAGCGCTGAACACCGTCATCCCCTCTACCTCACTCTGGAGCAGTACAAGTGCAGGCAAAACGCGGCTCCCGCAGATCCCGCAAAGTAAGGCAAGACCCCACGGGGCTGCCCAGGGAGCCGAGCCCCCCACCCCTTCTCGTATTTGCAACTCCAAAGCTGGAGTGGCGGGTGGAGAGGGGGGTCCCTGGACTCACACACCCGGCTGTTCCTCGCAGCTCCCAGCAGCCAGAGGTTTTGCGCCAGGTGGGAAGGGAGGAGGAGGAGGAGGCGGCGGCCCGTTCTGCTCACCTGAGCCGCTGTCTCCAGGCTGGGCTGCAGCCGAGAAAACGTCCTCCTTTCCAGCTGCCTGAATAATGCAGGGCCAAGGAGGGATTGGATTCCTGGCCTGACCGCCTGCCTCTCTTCGGCCCCTGCCTTGTTCCGCTTCCCTCTGTCCCAAGCCGCACCCAGGCCCTCCGAACCCTGGCCGTCCCTTTGGGAGTGCCGAAGGACTCCCATCGTTGCTGATGCCTCACCTGGGCAGGGGAGTGGGCCTCTCCAAGGACCTGGTCCTTGGGGGCTCTTCTGCTGGACGGAAGAAGCCTGCTGGGTTTCTGAGCCAAATGCCATCCCTTAATGAGGGCCGACAGGCCAGCTCCAGGGTGCCAGGGATGCTGGATGACGGCTTAGCTTAATTAGCCCGGATACAAGCCCTCCCGCCTTTGCTGCATTCAGAGCAGAATCCGGGGAGAAGCGAAGCCTGCAAGGCGGTGGGCAACGTCTAAGCGCAGCTCTAATTCCCAATGTAAATTGCAAGCGTCTCTTTCAAACCCCAAGAGCTAGAAACTTTCTCTTTCTTAATTTTTTTAACAAGCCAAGGCAGGAGACGCCATGGAGACTCAGCTTAGCTCAGAGAACTACAAACGGCACCTTTTGTGCATTTCCCGGACGAGCCGCCAAGGACCCCAAGCGCGAGCGGTGAGAAGGAGCCAGGCCTCGGCTGCTCCAGCACTGGCTTAAGCCCCGGGGCTCAGACCAGGTGAGGGACGCAAACAAGGAAAGAGGAGGGGAAGGCGAGAAGGGAAACAGGCAGGCCACCTGCCCTCCGCCGTGTCTCTGCCAGAGGGGAGCAAGGACAGGGGTAAGATCTCATCGACAGCAGCCATCCCCAACTCAGCACCCTTCAGAGGGTTTGGATTACAAGCCCCATCCTCCACATCAGCACGGCCAGGTGCAGTCCAACCAAAATGGAAGGCAGAAGGTTTGGGGACGAGGGCTGTGAAACCGCAGCTCGCTACGTGCGACGCTTAGTGAGAATCCGCACTCGGAACGTGATGGAAGTGCAGCGCGATAAACGTCTGGAATAGAGAACCTGGGATGCCCTCCTAGGACTGGGCCAGGGGGTTCTGGGTGGGGAGGGAGGTTGCCCAGGACTGCATTCTTTCCCCTTCTTTGGAATTCTGGTGGGCGAAGGCATGGAATCCTGCAGCCTGGAGAATCCCTTTTGCAGACCGAGACCCTCGGGCACAACCCAGCCTGGCACTGCTCTTGCAGAAGGTGAAGCAAAGGGTTAGTCTTGCACCCCCAGCCACATAGCATCTTAGTCGGGGTCCTTCTGGGCTTGGGGGAAGAGCAGAAGCTGCTCACAAACTTCCTCACAGTGCAGAAAGAGCCCTGCTGGATTGGAGCAAAGGACTACCCAGTGTAGGCCTGGGTTCCCACCGGGGCCCGAGGGACGGTCCCAGGGAAGCCACAACTGGGTGGCACGCTGTCTCCGATGCCCAAGCAGTCTCAGGGTCTAGGAACGTCAAGATATCCACACACACCCCAAAGATTCTGCAACCTCCTTATTGCATTCTCTACTCTCCCCAGTGCTCCTGTTCTACCTTCCACAGCTCCCCAACTTTTTTCTCTGTCTTCAAGCCATCTCTCCTCCAACAGAATTTAGCCCCTTGAATCCAGGAGCGCAACACTGAAAAGTGGGCCCAGGCACTCACAGCTGCAGAGGCCACGAGCTGTTCATCACACGCCCCTCCGAAAGTCGTCAGGAAGAGTCCTGGCTTTTCTAGCCCCCCCCGCAAATCCTTGCCTGCAAGGAAAGCGATGAACTTCACACCAAACACCATCTCCTCCCAGCCTCCTGGAGCAGACAATCCGTGGGTCATGCACAAAAATGGGGCAGCAAATCACTGAATAACAGAGGCCCAACGTCATGAGCCAAACTATACCGTAACTCTAATTCTAACCACTGTAAGCCTGAAAAGACACGGCTGCTTTAAAGAGGAGCTCGTCATCCACTGATTCTTTCCAATCGCTTTCAAAGGAAGTACAGCCCTAGTAGACAGGCCTACCAGGTCTCTATCATGCTGTTTCTGCAAATGCAGAATTTGGGCAACTGGACAAACATCCCCCTCCAAACGGAAGAATTCCTCCCCTGCCCTCCAGCTTCCCCTCTTCACGGGAGCAGAGCCAAGCGAAGGCAGCCTGTTCCTGCAGGCAGAATCGGAGGCGAGGGAAGAGGAAGGCCAAGGAAGGAAGACGGACTCACCTTCTCAAAGCTGCCGCTGGAACTGCCACTGCTGCTGCCATGGCTGGAGGCGGTGATGCGCAGGGGCGAGCTTCTCAGTCCGAGGGTGAGCTCTGTGGGTTTGGGAAGGGAAAGCAGAGTGAGAAGACAGGCTTGCAGAGAAGGGATGAACCAGCTTTGGAGGCCGGTGCTCGGGCGATCATTTCACAAGTGTGCGCACACACAGACACACAAATACTGGGCAAATGTTTAAGAGGTACATGAAGCGAAGAAGTTCCAAGATGTTTCTCCAAAGCAGTCCAGCCTTGTAAGAAGGACCAAAGGGGATGCCAAGAAGCGTGGTTAACTGCTCGCAAGCTCTTGAGGTCGGGCGGGCTTTAAATCAGACTGAAGGTCAGAACCCTTCCTCACCTGGGGGGCGCAGATGAACTGCTATTTCGTTCCCAGGAACGCCCAAGGCCATACCAACGGTGAAACCTGAGGACCTCTTCGACCTGTGCAAGAAGGTCTAAGACCGAAGGGGTGTGTGTGATGGGAATGAGGTGAAACTGAGTTCTGGCACGCACGGGACTCCGTTCCAGCAATGCTTTAGAGCTGTACACTACTTCCCAATAAATGAACCTTCCTTTGAACCGGCATTGGTCTCAGTGGAAGTTGCTTTCACTGGGAACTGAGCAGCGTGGTTCTTACACTGGAAAAAAAAAACGGAACTCTGTGGAAATGCCCTTCTTTCTCCCAAGCTGCAAGGCTTGGCTGGGGTGCGATGGGAGTTGTAGTTCAGGGCCTCTAGGCTGGTTTGCACATCCTGTGGAGTGCTAAGCTACAGTCTGCAAACCTCCAGGGCTGAATGTTTTCAAGGCAAAGCCAAGTAAACCACACCAGGCTTAGTACGAACTGAACAGGAACACACAAGAATTGTCTGTGCAACAGACTCATAACACAACCATGCATAACATACACATCAGTGTCTATACAGCTGACCCACCATCATCCACAGCCTTTTATAAACCTAGATTTAGCCCGCTCTAGATTTTGGAGGGGGAGCTCTATCTTGGCCATAATAAGGAGCTGAGCCGATGCCAGGATTTTTCTAAAAAAAGACAACAACCACCTCAATAAAACTTTCCATCCCGTTAAGTAGATAAACACCAGCTTGGCCAGTTGCGTGCTGAGGCTATTCTACCCGAAATAGTCAAGTTTCCAACCTCTGGGACCTCACGCAGGAACCCAAGTGCCCCCAACCCCAGTACACGGGTAATATGTCAACCTGCCACCGCTCTGCTACCGGCTGCCCACGTTTTGGGTGCACAGACGCATCGTGCAATTTCCTTTCGGGACAAGCGATGATCTGCAGAGCGCAGAAGAGGACTAAGGAATCATCAGCCGAGGCAACGAATGGCACGGGGTAGAGGAAAGGAGAGGAAACCAAGCTGAAGCAAGTTTTACCGGATGGGGCTCCCCCTCCCCGCCTCCCCAAGGCCGCGACCTGTCGTTTCTTGGCAAGAGGGTGGAAGGATAGACTTAGGTGGTAAAGGCTGGTCTTAGATGCTCACTGTGCAAAGGCCAGTGAGTTTGGGCACAGTCTGGCCAGTGTCACCCAAGGGCAACCAAAACCCAGCTTTGCCCCAAGTTTGCACACACTATGCCAGGGAAGCCAGGATCTCTAACCTAACATAGGCTTGCCTGCTTCCCAACTTTTCATCTTTTTATCCCCTCCCCAGCGACTCCCTTCATCACCACCTGCCTGGCCACAGAGGGGGAGAGATTCCTCAGGTACGACCCGTCCCCCACCCGAATGATCCTGACTCCTGCAGGCCAGCCTCGGAAGGAAGGAGCAGCCCTCCTGAGCTCCACAGATCTAACATGGCTCTGCATCCCCCAAGGAAGACGGTTTGCCCATTTGCAACGATTAGATGACTGTAACGGATGCCTCCTCACCCCCTGAAAATGCCCAGCAATTACAGGGTTGAACTGGGATGCTACTTTTGGGGACCCTCGCAAATGCTGCCCCGGTTTTGTGGGCAAAGGCTCCGTTGTGCTGGGTCAAGGGAAGGTGCACGTTTAACACAGAACACCTCCGTAGACTTGGCCATGGTGGGAGGAATTACCTTGGCAGAGATTTCACCCATTACACCACAGAGGTCCAATACTTCCTCTGATTGATTGAAGGACCCTTTCCTTCCCCCCCACACATCTCCCAGCAGTTCTTCTGCCCTGCCCGAAAAAGTCCACAGATCCCTGGATTGGACCCACCTTTGCAAGTGGCCTTAGGAGAACCATGCTGGAAGTTCTGCCCTTGGGGCGTCTTTCTCCCTTGCCACAAGAGGGCAAAAAAGGGGAACCAGGGTGAGAGGCAAAGTCACCCTCCAACCACCCAGGGCCACTCACCTGCTCGCTGGTTCCCGGGTACACCCATCAGGTGGCCCCGCAACGGCTGGTGGCGGCCATCCTTGATTTCAATCGTGAGGAGGGTCTTCATCTCGCCGTCAGGGTCGGCACCAGGACGGGGCACCGGGGAGGACGTAGGGCTTTGGGCAGAGCCACGGAGCGCCTCTGAGTCAGTGGAGCCCCTGTTGGCGTTTTCAACGCGAGGCCGGGCGGGGGGCAGCCTCCCTTCCTGCCATTGGCTGC